TGGAGAAGCTGAAGCAGCAGAAATACGAGGTGGGCGCCTCCCCTGCTGGAGGCCGGGCTGGCTGGGGCTGGCAGGGCCGGCAGGAGGGGCAGGGAAGGGCAGGGCAGGCGGGTGTCCCCTCGGCCTTCCCAGCCTCTGCCTCCCGCCCCCACAGATCAACGTGCTCTACAACCGCATCAGCCACGCCCAGAAGTTGTAAGTTCGAGGCTCATGTCCCAGCGTYCCCCAGCCGCAGCGCAGCGGGTTCCCACCCAGGCCTCTTGGCAGATCCCCCGCTTTCTCCCTGGTCCCTCGCTCTCAGGGCATCCTTTTCTGTCCTGTCTCCACTCTCCGGTTTCAGTCCCTTTTCTGTGTCCCTGTAGCCTGGGGCGGGAAGCAGAGATCTTGATCCGCAGGGGCATATGCAGTGCTGGGACACTCAGGTTGTCACAACCTGGTGTCGAGGGGGTGGAGCCCCTGTCGAGATTGCACGACACCCACAATGCACAGTGAGCCTCCTGGTCACCCGTGCCTGGTGGAGAAAGCCTGCTTTACAGATGTCCTGCGCTTCTTACTCTCTGCCACCCCCCCCACCGCCCTGCCTCTCCTGTCGCCCACCCGCAGGCCACCCTTCCCCAAGGGCATTTCTCTGCCACAGGTCACCCTGAACTCGCCCACAGGCCCCCATTCCCGTGCTCCCTCAATCTGCCCACCTGTTCCTCTGGGTGGAGGTGGGCATTTCCCTGGTGGAATCCTGAATTAAGGGCCTGTGCCCATCTCAGAGGCTGGGAAGCCTCAGCTCCTGATACTGCCTCCTTGTCCCACAGCCGGAAGGGGGCAGGGAAGGGCCGAGTTGGAGGCCGCTGGAAGTGAGGAGTTCTTCGGAAGGCCCCCCTCGAGGTTCCGGGAGCGCTGGAGGGCTCCGCCTCTCTGTGGCTTGAAATAAAGGCTCCCCCGAGGCACCTGCTCAGTGCTCTGGTGTTAATGTGGGTGGGCGATCCGCTTGTGCTTGACAAGTAGCTATTGCTTGGTAGAGTCACCAGGAAGCACCAAAATGATGTGCGGTGGGACCCTGGCACTCCACGAGGGGTGGACACCCACAGCTACTCTGCAAAGCTGTGCTCAGGAAGAGAAAAGGGCTGCCCACGACCCAGAATTCCTCCCTGGGTAGGTGCCCTCCAAGACCCTATGCACTCCCATCACTCCCAAAGGCAGGTACCTCCCAGCAGGYCCTCAGCGAGGGAAGGCGCGGGCGAGCAGGACAGCCGAGAAGCCCAGGGCAGCGYCATCCCCCGGCCAGGCCGGGATGTGGGAATCCACGGCTCAGTCTTCAGTTAGCGGGTGCTTTTCCACACCAGACAAAATAAGGGCYGTGTTATTGAGGAAGAAGGAGTTATGGGGGTCGAGCAGCTCTGACCTGGCCAGTTCCTTCCACTCCAACACAGGTGTCTAGACTTCAGCACCTGCACACGGAACTCATTCACTTCCTTCCCAAGGACCAYAGCCCAGGTTCTTAGGGGTCGGAACAAACTTATGAGTCAGACTTGGTTGTGTCTCTGGAAGGGACATAAAGACATAAAGGGACATCCTACAGACATAAAGACAGGTTCTTGCTCCCTGAATCTACAGTGGTGGAAGAGAAACAGGGAAAAGGCCATCACTGCCATCATCATGGAGCTGACCTATGGGAAAGGGGGAAGGGGAGCACAGGACAGTGGTTGGACAGGAGCAGGGACAGGTAGCAACCTGGAAGAGCCGGCTTCCCACCCAGGTTGCACTCCCTCTCTGCAACTGCTGTGTGCTGGGAGGATTCCGCCAGGCCCAGAGCCAAGCCAGCYTTCAGAAGGGTACTGTTCCTGGGGACACCTGTTGCAAAGTCTCTTTCCTGTTGGGCTGAGTTTGGAGACCCAGCTTAGTGTGTCCCAGGCAGGCCAGCTCTGGATGTCCCTGATGATATAATCTCTCTTAAACTGTTCCTCTGTGCAAATAACTCTTCTAAGGAGAGTTTTAAAATCAGAGCTTGGAGCTGACACCAGAGTCTCCCCTCTGCTCTGAGCCTTATAGGAGTTGGCTTGTTACTTCTGTGTTCTCAGTTCACCCGCTTATCCAACCATCTTTACTGTGCAGACTAGTGTTTGTTTTTCTGCCATCACAGGGGAAGAGGGAAACGTTTCTTCTTATCGTTCTGAGCTTATTTTTGCTAGCAGTTAGRGGGGCCTTGGGGTTCTGAGGTAAAGCACCAAAATTCCACTGTTAGTGTTGAGAGAAAACAGCAGTCCTGAGAAGTGTGAGGACTTCAGGGCCAAAAAGAGAAGGGCAGAGCTGGGCATGTTGGCCACACCTGTGATCCCAGTGGCTCTGGAGGCTGAGGCAGGAGTATTGCAAGTCTGAGGTCAGCCTGGGCAATTTAGGCAGACTCTAAGCAACAAGGTGAGACCCTGTCTAAATAAAAAACAAAAAGGGCTGGGGATATGGCTCAGAGGTTAAGAGCCCCTGGGATCAATCCCTGGTGCAAAAACAAACAAACAAAGACAGAGGGAGATTTATGCTGTGGGCTGAGGGTGAAGGTGCATGATGCTGGCACCATCGCTCCAGCTGCAGGAGGCACAGACTAGCCACAGGTCACAGAGCCAGGAAGCAAGTCGAGACAAGATTCAAACTCAGGATGGTCAAATCCAGAGCTGGATGTCGCAACCATGGTGGTAGAACAGGATTTTTAAAAAGAAGTTGAGGGCTGAGGTTGTGGCTCAGTGGTAGAGTGCTTGCCTAGCATGTGTGAGGCACTGGGTTCAATTCTCAGCACCACATAAAGATAAAAAAAAAAAATAAAGGTCCATAAAAAAAGAAGTTTTTGAAGTAGAAAGCTAGCAATTGATGTGAAGATTACTAACAGCGCTTATGCTGAGACGTGTCTCACAGACCACTGAGTGGGCTGACCAGATGCCTCAAAGTGTCTTTCCTGCACATAAATAATAAGAGTTGCAAGAACACAGACATATTTACATGAACCCTTGCAAACACAATCGCAGTGCTTGTAAACAAGACACGTCCAACCACAGACAGGACCATAAACACACACAATTTCAACACATCACAATTAGGAAGAGCCACAGAAACACATACCCCCCGCACTGCACAGCACCATGACGATTTACTTCTTGCTAACCCGAGGAAAGGAGGCTGGGGTTCCRCGACTACTACTCAAGATCCATGGGACTGACTCTTTATATCTACCRCCTGCCACCCCCAGCCTCATGGCATCAGTGGCGTCTCTGCATAAGCTAAAGGATTTCATAGTGGACATGCTGCTCCAGTGTCCTTGGGAAAAAGTTTATCACCTCTATCCAGATTTTGGCAGCTTTTTTGTGTTCCTATATCAAAGTGTTCATATCCTTCCTAGTTTGGATTTGGGTGTGGGATATTTAACACCAAGCTATGCTTCTGTCTTGGGTCTACTATTAAGACCACTGCCCAAGTCGGGTGCAGTGGCCTGTGCCTATAAATCCGGACTGTCGAGGTTGAGTTAGTAGGTTCACAAGTTCGAGGCCAGCCTCAGCAACTTAGCAAGACTCTGTCTCAAAAACAAAAAACAACAACAACAAAAAAAAACCCAAAAAACAAAAAACAACAAAAAAAACATTAACAAAGGGCTGGTGATGTGGCTCAGTGGTTTAGCGTCCTTGAGTTCAATCCCCAGTACCAAAAACCAAAACCAAAAACCAGAAACCGGGCTGGGGTTGTGGCTCAGTGACAGAGCGCTTCCTGGCATGTGTGAGGCACTAGGTGCAATTCTCAGCTCCACATATAAACAAGTGAATAAAATAAACGTTCATCAGCATCTAAAAAAATATTAAACAACAACAACAACAAAAAACCCCACYGGCTTTCCAAGCCCACTAAAGCACTTCGTTCCGGACTACAAATCCCACCGTGCAACGAGAGCGGGGGAGCTGGGACTACACTCCCCGGAGGGCTCCGTGGCCGGGAGCGCGGGTGGGGTCGCTGACCTGCGGGGCTCCTCAGTGCATGGTGGGCCCAGTGTGCGGACTGGGGACTTCTCGGGGCGTGGCCCTGAGGCCTACATTCCCCAGTGTCCTCCCGGCTCTTAGCCCAGCGCCCTCATTTTTACACTGAAGCTTACTCCCCGGCAGGCCCGAGGCGCGCTCCCCAACCCACCGCGTGGCAAGCTGGGGGTGCTTTGCCTTTAAATGATGTCCGGATTGAAGACTCAATTTCCCAGGCGCCCCGGCGTTTCCCACGGCCTAGGGAGTCCATTCATTCMAGTTTTTCCCCTCGCGGGCTGTGAGCTCAGTTCTAGCCACTGAGAACAGATAGCACCCACACCAGACAAAAGCCCCTGCCCTCGTGAGCGTACTTCTRGTGGAAGGAGGAAGATTTAGGAAGTTGTGTGTGGAAAGTCGGTGTCGTGATTGTCCACGCTAGTTCTGTCTTTCAGGACGCTGCCCTCTCCCCGTCCCCCAGGCCCGGATGAATAAAGGCCCAYGAGAAAAAGAAGTTGTTGAAGTACACAGCTGGCCCGTCAGCGCGCCGGGGGTGGGCGGAGAATCCCGGCCTTTGTCCCTTTATAGCTCACACTACGCTTCCCAGGATGMCGTGGGGCACCCTTTGGCCTGTAGAGTCCGTTTCCCAGCGTTCCACGGTGCTCGCCTTCCTCCAGGCGGATCCCGTTTGACGCCTGGGAGCCGCGACTTCCCAGCGTGCCTCCGCGTCCAGCAAGCAGAGCAACTGGCGCCAGGGACTCCTTTTCCCAGCGATCCCCGCGGCCTGCTTCTGCCCCGCCCCTTCCCATCGGGCGTTTGGCTTCCCCGCGCTGCGAACTCCGTTTCCCCGCGCGCCCTGGGACGGCGTCGTGACGTCAGCGCGCCGGGCGGGCCCGGCGGTCCCCAGGCGGAGCGCGGCGAACGGCAGTTCCCGGCGGCCCCCGCGGCGGGCGGCGGCGGCGGCTGTTCGGCGCAGAGCGCTCGCTCGCTCGCTCGCTCGCTGGGCGGGCGGGCGGCGCGATGTCGGGGGAGGACGGCCCGGCGGCGGGCCCGGGGGCGGCGGCGGCGGCCCGCGAGCGCCGGCAGGAGCAGCTGCGGCAGTGGGGGGCGCGGGCGGGCTCCGAGCCGGGCCCTGCGGAGCGGCGTGCCCGCACTGTCCGCTTCGAGCGTGCCGCCGAGTTCCTGGCGGCCTGCGCGGGCGGAGACCTGGACGAGGCGCGCCTGATGCTGCGCGCGGCGGACCCGGGCCCCGGCGCCGAGCTCGACCCTGCCGCCCCGCCGCCCGCCCGCGCTGTGCTCGACTCCACCAACGCCGACGGCATCAGCGCCCTGCACCAGGTCAGCGCCCGCCCTCGTCTGCGCCGCCCTGGCGTCCTCCGTCCCGTGCCCGAGCCACCGCTGCCCCCGGCACTGGCTTTTCAGTCTTGTGCTGCCCAGTCTTCCGGCCCGCCTCGAGCTTCCTTGTCCCTGTGCTGAGCAGCTCTCGCTGGCCTGGCCCCTGACACCTTGTGCGGTCCTCCGCAGGACGTGAGCCATCTCTGACAGCTCAGTCTGGCGGGTCGCATCATTGTCCTCTTCCCGACCCCGCGCGCCCTTCACTTGTCTGTGCCACCTCCACCGGTGCCACCTCTCTGCCATCTAGTCTGCCATCACTTTCCTACGTGTACCGCTTGCTTAGTTTTGCAGGTCTGCTGGCTTCCATGCCTACGCTGGCCTAGTTTCCCTTTTCAAGGCAGGTCCTACTTCCACGGAGCTGCATCCCCCTCTGGATCCTTCAGTGCCACCGTCAGGCTGCACCTCTGCCACACTCCTCCTTTCCTTTGCCGCGGCTGTTGCTGCCCTAGGATCATCCCTCTTGGCCAGCGGCTTCTAAGCTCTGTACCTTGTTCCTCGAGGCACATCTTCCCTTGTAGGGTCACCTCCCATGTCTGCTGTACCCTGGGACTCTGTTGTTTCTCTCTTCCTTCTCCCTTTTCCTCCCAGCTGGGCCTTCTGTTGGGGTGTTTGTCCTCTGCATTCTCCCCTATCCTTGGGCACCCTCAGAGCATCCCACTTCTGACTTTGAGCTCCTTCTCTATTCTCTTGGTCCTTTTGCCCAGACACCCTCCCCTTCTGTGGATTTGGGTCACCTCTCACTTTCTTCATTTGGGCAGCTTCCCCCTCTGAAGGCTTCGAACCCTGGTGTCAAGTCACCTCCCCAGGGGTTCTGGAGCCTCCCCCTCCAGAGCCACTTGTCCCCTTAGAGACAGGCTGCTTGCTGCCAGTGTCTTAGAGCTAGTGCCACTTTATGTTCCCAGGGTTTCCTCTGGTTCTGTTTGCTTCTGTATCACTCAGGTTGGTGCCACCAGGAGCAGGATTGGCACAGAACGCCGTGTCCCCAGTCCTTCCTTCTGGGCTCCTGCACYGTTCAGCACCCCTCCTGGCCGCAGCTTCCTTCTCTGGGGGCAGAGCCCATCTCCTCCCCTTTCCCCGCCTTCTCCCCTTGCTAAGCCCCCTGTAGTTTGGTTACTGAAGAAAGCAGAGGAGACCCTGGAAAGAAAGCGTGGCTGAGGCGGGGCGTGGAGCTGGAGGCTCCGCCASACCTTCTCAGACTCCCAGGAAGAGCCAGAGCAGCCGCGCAGGCCTGATGCTGATCCAGCCCGAGAGCCTTTCCCCTCCTCCGTGCCTCAGTTTTCTCGCCTGTGGGTTGGGAGTCGCCAGCCCCTCCCCAGGAGGTTAGGGTCGGGCAGCTCATGTATGGAGAGCTCCCCTCTTGGGGCTGGTGTGTCACAGGTGTCCCCTGGGGGGACGCTGCGCCTTCCTTGCCTGCGGAAGCCCCAGTGCTGTGTGGGACATTTTCCTTCTCCGGAGCAGGCTCCCTGCCCGGGGTCTGAGTTCTTGACCAGGCCAGGAGAAGGTCCAGGCACTGGAGTGTCCCTTCCTGCTCCTCTCCCCTGCCCTGGCTCCTCTTGGAGCTTCCCTGCGAGGGCTCCTGAGCCGCTTTCCTCTGCATCCCCCGGGCCCCAGGCAACCTCCTTTACTTGGACTCAGGAGGTCGCTCTGTCCTTTCCTGCCAGGCGGCCTCCTACACAAGAGTCTCCTCCGCTGCGGGCCCTGGCGAGCCTACCCTCTGGGCTTTGCAGGAGGCCTGAAGGGTTGGGTGGTCTGAGGAGAGGGGAGTCACGCCCAGCGTGGAGGCCAGTGAGAGCTGAGGTTCCATCAGGCCTGGGTGGGGGGACCAGCTTCCTGGGCCTGGCCTGGTGACTCCCGAGTTTGAGCTAGTTTTTCCACGGGGCTGAACCCTCCCTGGGCCTGGTCCCAAGCCCCCACTACCTGGCCGGCTATGTTCCTTGAGTGCCCCCGCCTCAGTCCTGCCCCAGGGTGGGCAAGACCGGTCCTCTCCTCCCCTCTCCCTGCTTGTGCACCAGTGGGTCTGG